GCACATGGCGGAACATGTGAGAGACGCTCTGGATGAAAGCGCACTTTCACTCTCTGACAGCAGATGGCGCTAAACTGCAGAAATAATAATAATAATAATAATAATAATAATAATAATTCATTTAAATGCAGCCGTTACCCCGGAAACCTTGTAAATAAAGCAGCTGCACTAATTTCTGTTTTTGAATCGTGTTTAAATGATTTAAACAGCCATTCAGATTTGTGTATTTGCTATGATGTTCATCACAGCACCAAATACTTAAATATTTAGACTTAATAGGCTATTTATTTTCAAACTTTTTTTACATTTTAATCTGGACTACAACATGCCCTAGATATTGTTTGAAAGTGTTTTGATTCTTTATTGTTCAGTCAGTGAACAACGGCTCTGTGTAGTAAATGCTGCTCAGTGTGAAAGCACGCACGTGATGGAGATTTACCGCTGATTACAGAACCGGCTTTACTGATAAGATGCGCGTTAAATATCGCATGCGATTTATCGTGCAGCCCTAAAATGTTTTATGCGATATTCCAGTTTTGCACAAGTTAAATTCGCATCTTTGGATGGAAACATAGCTAGTGTAGCCTTTCGCCACGTCTTGCTATTTTATACCCGAAAACACACACAAAAACGTTCTGGTGTGAGCTGCTAATAGATGTGAATGTGACAGTAGTTTCACTTGGTTTTGATCATTTGCATTTTCTGTGTTTCATACCCACAATTATCATCTCCAATAAAATTGGTTTTTAAATGTGAAATCTGTTATTTTTTTGTTAAAATACTTGTTCTGTCTCAGTTTAATGTGCAGAGACTACTATAAATAAACCATTCGTAGGTTGATTTCCAGAAGATTTGTAAGTAATGTGGATGTATGGCACTTTTATAACATGTGAACATTCTTGATCAGTATGTTTAATATTAGATAATTATTTAAAGTTAATAATAGTTATTATAACATGATATGAATATATCTTAATTAGTGCTGTCAGATGATTAATCGCGATTAATCGCATCCAAAATAAAAGTTTTTGTTTACATAATGTGTGTGTACTGATTATATTTATTATGTATATATAAAGACACACACATACAGCATATATTTAGAAAATATCTACATGTATTTACTAGGGGTCAGCCGATATGTGTTTTTCAGGGCCGATACCGATTATTACAGATCAAGTAGACCGATAACCTATATTTTGAACCGATATATATGTCTGGTGTAAAAATGAAAATGAATGTCAAAATTAAGAATAACAAGGGCTCTGACAAAAACTGCCTTCACGGGTGTTGGTTGTGTAGTATTCCCACACTGCACTTCTTACTCTTGTCTTCCTCTGTGCATCCATCTCCAATAACGGTAATATAAAGAAAGAGTTAAAAAGTGGGGCACACTGTATGCTTCATGATTAAGCCTATGAAAACTGTACTTCAGCGAAACAGTTTGGGGAAATGTAAGTATTTGGCTTCAAAAATTTACATGTTAGAAATGTATGTGTAATAGCATAACCTCTCATAATTCCTCATTAATTATTTTCTGATGGCTAAAACATAACCTACAATAGTAGAGGTGACTATTCAATTCATCATCTAATGCACATTGCACATCAATGGATTAACTTTTAAAAAAATTATATAATAAGTGTAAATAATTTAATTGTCTTCATAGCTATATTGTAGAAGTTGTTAAGAAAACTGCAACTATTTTCATGAAACTATAGCACTAATAGCCTTTTACAGGCGCACTTAGTTCAGTAGCCTATTGAAATGTCTTGGCCTATGTGACTCTAGAAATTTCAGTTAGTTTTAATTTACAGTACAGTGCAAATGAAGGCATAAATCAATTTAATTTATCTTTTAATCAAATGAGAGAGAAACTCTATTTTTTGGCAGACAAAGGGTTTACTATTAAAATTAAAACGTGGAAGAAATAGCGTATTGTGTGATTATTCTTTTAAACAAAAGTTGTAGTAATTGTTGTATTATTATTATGTATATCATATTGCACCACAGTAATATATTTCTGATTATTTCTTTAAGCTAACATGAACTTATATTTTGACGGGTTGCCATGAGGAACTTTTAAGTTTCTGCAGCCTATGTAAGTGTTTCCCATACATTGATTTATTTGTGGCGCCCGCCACAATATTAAAACTGACCATAGCACTGTAAAATATCACAGTATTTCTGAAGGAAACCGACTGTCTTCAGAAATTTTGGATGTCATTTTCATTTCATCTTGCATGTAATATCTGATAATATCTACCACCCTAACAGCGCCTCCTGCTGGCAGAGAATTAATTTGCATATATATGCCACCACAAATAGAGTGTAAGTCTGTGGGAAACACTGCAATAGTTTAAATAAAAAGTAAATGTCAAATGATCATGAAGTGACTCTCAGAGGGAGTCAGAGCAGTTCTGGAGATGTTGTTCATGTATTTATGTCCTCATGTAGTGAGACGACAGAAGCTGAAATCACCGCGAGCGTCGCAC